GCAATGCTTCAGGAGGAGCTGGCTCTTACTCTCCTACCAGTCCCATAAGTCAACAGGAACCACATTCACCAACTTTTACTGGTTTCACAATAGATGAGCTTACAAGGCTCAAGGCTTTGTTACAACCAGCTTCCAGTTCTCATGGACCCTCTCAGGCTAATTCTGTGGTTACTAGATCACAGCCTATGTCAGGTATCCTATCTCTCTCAACTTTGACACATAGAACTAGGGGTGTACATGGGTCGGGTGGTTCGGGTTTAGTCATTTTAATCACCCGACCCATGCACTACGGTTTGAGAAATATCAAACCCAAACCCACCCAAAAAATTTTAAACCCTACGGTTTGTTTCTAATTGGGTTGGGTCGGGTTGGCGATATTTTTAAGTAAAAACCCAACCCAACATAAAATATATAATTATTCTACATCATAAAAATATTTTATAACTAATTAAAATTTCAAACGAATGAACCAAGGTGAAAGATATGAAAATTTACGAATGTTGTTTAAATTTTAATAAAATGTGATTTACTTCAACATATGTCTTGTTTTTTTCACGATATTTGTTGAAATATGCTAAAAATGTTATAAACAAACGCATCCATCATATGTTATTCTATTAAAATTGTACACAAGAAAAAGAATTACGTGAATCATAACTATATTCAATTTATGTCTAAACTTTAAGTCGAAGAATGCATTAGATTAGGGAGACCATGAGAGAAAAACATGGCGAAATATCTTAATTTTCTCATAAGTATATGACTATATACTACATAAATATTTTTTAAATCCGAACTCATACTAATAGTTGGAACACGGGTTGGGTCGGGTTCTACGGGTTGTGTAATCCAAAATCCAAACCCAACCCAAAAGAGGCGGGTTGTACAAAAGAAAACCCTCACCCAACCCAAAACCTTCGTTTTAGCGATAAATACGGGTGGGTTGGGTCGGGTTGGACGGGTGGGTCAGTTTGCGGGTATGTTTGTTCACCCCTACATAGAACCAGTGAATGTGTGTGGGTTTTGGACACAGGAGCAAGTGATCACATCATTTGCTCCATTTCTCTGTTCCTGAGATGTAAGAAGGTGCATGATGTTTCTGTTACACTTCCAAATGGCCAACAAGCATCTGTCACACACTTAGGGGTAGTCAAACTGCCTTGTGGCATTTTCCTCACTAATGTCCTCTTAGTGCCTTCCTTCTCCTATAATTTGATTTTAGTTAGTCAACTTACCAAAAACAGTCCTGTCTCATTGTTGTTTCAATCCACTTTTTGTTACATTCAGGACCTTATCTCTCGACAGAGGATTGGTTTAATCCCAGTAAGTAGAGGACTTTACCTTCTTGGAGATACCAGTGGCCCAGGAGAGACTTGCAACCCACAGATTTTTGGAGTGAGCACCAGTCCAGAGAGTTCCAGTTTATGGCACAAACGGCTAGGACATCTTTCTTTAGATAGGTTGAGGAAAATTAAACAAACTTGTACTGAAGTTGAGTTACCAAACAGTCTGGGTTGTGAGGTTTGCCATTTGTCTAAACAAAAACGTTTACCATTTCCCAGAAGCACTTCTTGTTCCAAAGAACCCTTTGATTTAATACATTGTGACATTTGGGGGCCTGTTAATGTTGTTAGTCATGATGGTTTTCAGTATTTTCTTACCATTGTTGATGACCATAGTCGTTGTACTTGGTTGTATTTGATGAGTCACAAGTCTGAGGTTAAGGGTTTACTTCAGTCTTTCTTTGCCATGGTTGAAACTCAGTTCAGTAAGAAAGTAAAGGTCCTACGTTCAGATCAAGGACAGGAGTTCAAGATGGTTTCCTTTTATCAACAGAAAGGTTGCCTACATGAAATGAGCTGTGTTCATACTGCACATCAGAATGGTAGAGTAGAGAGGAAGCACCAGCACATTCTCAATGTGGCTAGGGCTTTAAAGTTTCAGTCAGGCTTACCAGTTAGCTTCTGGAGTCATTTTGTGATGCATGCTATCTACCTAATTAACAGAACTCCCACTCCTGTCCTGCACAACAAGTCTCCTTTTGAGACTTTGTTTGGTATACCACCAGACTACAGCAACCTTCGAGTGTTTGGCTGTCTAGCTTTTGCCACAAACACTGAAAGTCATAAACCAAAGTTTGCCCCTCGAGCTGTCAAAGCAGTCTTCCTTGGTTACAGTTTTGGCATAAAGGGTTTTAAGTTGTATGATTTGGCCACTCACTCAGTGTTCACCAGCAGGGATGTTGAGTTTCATGAATCTGAATTTCCTTTCTTACCTTCTCATGCACCTGTACCTACCCCTCCATCACCTTCTTCACCCACAGATCATCTTCATCCCTTTCTTTTTGATGATGATCTTCCTCTACCACAGGATCATAATGTCCATGAGACATCTGATCCTGATTACTTACCCTCACCACCTGTCTCTCCTATTCACTCACCTCCTGCTTCTCCCATTCACTCCCTTACTCCAGTACCTACTGTTCCTTCTCCTTCTTCCTCTCCACCTACACTCCCCATTGCACTTCGAAAAGCACCTAGAGTTACCAGGCCTCCTAAACACCTTGAATCTTTCCACACTTCTTTTCTATCCCAAACTTGTTCATCTTCCTTTGATGACAAGCTTCTGTATCCTCTTTCTCACAGCCTGTCTTACTCCCACTTGTCCCCCTCACACAAACATTATACTCTCTCCATTTCTATGTCTTCAGATCCTCAAACTTATGCACAGGCAGCTTTACATCCCTGCTGGAACCAAGCTATGAAGGAGGAGGTTCATGCCCTAGAGGCTAATGAGACCTGGGACATTGTTGACAGGCCACCTAATGTTGTGACTATTGGGTGTAAATGGGTTTATAAGACTAAATTCTTGCCAGATGGTGCCATTGAACGCTTTAAAGCCAGAGTTGTTGCTAAGGGGTACACTCAGACTTATGGAATTGATTTTGTTGATACTTTTTCACCTGTTGTTAAAATCAATTCTGTCAAGCTTCTTTTAGCAATTGCAGCAGCCAAGCAGTGGCATCTCCATCAGATGGATGTGAGTAATGCTTTCTTGAATGGTGACTTAGAGGAGGAGATTTATATGTAGCTTCCCCCTGGTTTGAGAGAGCTAAGTCACCTTCAAGGTAAAGTTTGCAGGTTAAAGAAATCCCTTTATGGGCTTGAGCAGGCCAGTCGTCAATGGTATCTTAAGCTTACTGAGTTCTTGACTAAGCTGGGTTTCCAGCAATCATATGAAGACTATTCAGTTTTTAAGTCTTCTACAGTTGTGTTAGTCATCTATGTAGACAACATCATTGTAGCAGGACAAAATTTGCAAGACATTCAATAGGTCAAGGCACAGTTGCAGAAGGGTTTCAAAGTTAAGGACTTGGGGAATTTGAAGTACTTCCTCGGTTTGGAAATAGCTAGAACTCAGGCTGGGATTTCTTTATGCCAAAGAAAGTTTTGTTTAGAGATGCTGGAGAATGCAGACTTTTTGGAGTGTAAACCAGCTAAAACTCCAATTAGCATGAAGGCTATATTGTCTGCTGAAGATGGAACGTTGCTTGATGATGGTTCAGTTTACAGACATCTCTTGGGGCAGTTGCAGTATTTAACATCCACTAGACCTGACATTTGCTTCCCAGTACAGCAGCTAAGTCAGTTTCAAGATCGACCAACTACAGTGCATCTCAAAGCCTTACATAGAATCTTGAGATACTTGAAGGGTTGTCCAGCACAAGGTCTATGGTTTTCTTCTTCATCCAATTTGCAATTAAGTGGCTATTGTGATTCAGATTGGGCAACTTGCCCAGATTCAAGGAAATCGATTACTGGATATTGCACCTTCCTGGGGAGTTCTCTCATCACGTGGAAAAGCAAGAAACAGAGCACAGTTTCACGCTCATCTTCTGAAGCAGAATACAGAGCAATGGCGCAGCTTGCTTGTGAGGTACAGTGGTTAAAAGCTTTTCTGAATTTCTTTGGAATTCCACATTCAAACCCAGTGAAGGTATACTGTGACAACCAGTCGGCCATTCATATTGCGGAGAACCCTGTTTATCATGAGCGAACTAAGCATATAGAGGTTGACTGCCATGTCGTCAGGGAAAGGTTGAAATCAGGACTCCTAAATCTGTTTCATTTGAATACCGAGAACCAGTTGGCTGACTTATTTACTAAGGGGCTATCTGGTGATCGATTTAAGTTTCTGCTCTCCAAACTGGGTGTACATGATATGTACTCGCCAGCTTGAGGGGGCGTGTCAAGCAGAGTGTACAAGAGGAAGAACGGAGTTATTCGACAGAGGTACACTCTGCTAAAGGAAGAAGACGAAGTGCAGAGGTTTGGGCCTGAAACCGGATCGGGCTTCCTTTCACCCGGTCCAACCAAGAACCAGGAGGTATATAAATAAGTGAAGACGACGACGTTTGGTTCCTCTACAGCGTCGTCAAACCAGCTGATAAGCAGTTAGACACTTGTCGTCTTGTAATAGGATGGTTTAACCTGTTAGTTACAATTAGCCGTTGTAACAGTAGATTAGGAAATGTAATTAACTAACTCTGTATATATTCTGCGCAAAAGGGAATGAGAAGGCATTCTGCCAAATTCCTCCAAACATATCGTTGTTTCTCTACGATTCCAAACCCTAGCAGCTGTCAGATCTACTTTCTTCTCAAATTGTTCGTTCCACCGAATCTATGACTTCACGGTAGGCCAGTCAACTTTTGACATTTTATTAAGAAAAATAAATGCGCAGGCAGGCAGAACATGATTAATTTCTTTAATCTTTAGACTGCACAAGTAGAAAGGGCAACCACAGCCCCAGCTCGAACCAGAAGAATAATAGCGCTCCAAGGGAAAGGAGAAGTCGAATTGGGCCTACACTAGCCCAATCTTTAACGTATTCGTTGCATTGAACCCAGCCCAATAGAGTGACCGTCCGTCAGATTCGGGTAACGGGAACCCGAATGGCGTCCCCCTTTAACCCACCCGGTTTGGCTTAAACCACCGCCTCCCGTCCTGTAAGTAACCTCTTCCGTTCCCGTTTCTTTCCCTGCGTTCACGACCAGTCCAGCAGCGCCGCCATATCCTTTGAACTTGAAATAATAGGAGGCAGAACAGAAGGAATCGTTTCTAGCCTTCGAACAAGAGGAACACATGTGAGTAATACTATCAATCCGTGCAGCACTTCCATGATTCATCCCTCCCCTTCTGGCCCGTTGTATCCCTACTTCCCTGTTGTCGGCTACCTTTTAATTTTATACTTGTTGTGTTCTTCCGAGCATTACTTCTTTTTTTTCAAGCCTCTAGCTTTTATGTGTGGCAGTTTTCCTTTCTATGAGGAGCATGCTTGCTTGAATGAGATGTTATTTCAGTTCGAAACTAATTTGACGCTTGGAATTAAACTATAAACCGAGTCTATCTACAAAAGAATAGACAAATGAACACACGGCAATAGCCAGTTACCTGGTCGCACAGTCACGGCGACAATGGCTAGTTTGCTAATGATGGAATGGAAGTAGCTAGTTTGGAATATCAAAATGAGCCAACTGCTCTATCCAAGGCTTTCGGTGGAATGGTTATTGTCTTTGCTAGTATCTACTAAGTCATGGGCTTGATGGTAGTCGTAAGGAGATTGGCAGTTCAGACCTTAAAATGCCGTATCATGTTTGAAATTTTCAAACCAAACCAAACCAAACCAAACAAGTAATGATGCTGACAGTGTGGTTAGGCGTTCAACAATATTGTGCCAAGCATGCTCATAATGTGGTTCTTTACTCCTCTCATGCGATTAAATCTTTGCTGGCTATGTATAGGTCTCGAATATGTGTGAAGAACTTGGCAAAATATGTGACTGAAGATCAACTGCGAGAACATTTTTCTCTAAAGGGAGACGTAACAGATGCCAAGCTAATGCGAACCAAGTACTACTTAAATTGTTTATGATAATAGTGGTGATTGTTTGCTCTTGAAAATAATAATCAGTGTGCTTTCTTATTGTGAAAAGTAATATTCTTTGTGTTTCTTCCATTATCATCTTTTTTGCAGAGATGGTAAGAGCAGGCAGTTTGCTTTTATTGGGTTCCGCACAGAATCTGAAGCTGAAGAAGCTATCAGACACTTCAATAGATCTTTCCTCGGCACATCAAGAATTGAGTGTGAGGTTTGTATCCTCGGCTTACTTCTTACTCTCAAGTGCGGATCAAAGTTCCTTTTCTATGGGAACTACATATTCTCATGTGTAGACGGAATGAACTGTTATAATTAGAACATAGTGGCCTGTATCATCACCTTTCTGGACTTGCCAAAAAAAAAAAAAAAAAGAAGGGTATCATAATGTTTCTTGTGAGCCTTGAATTGCAATGGATAACTGGGCTAATCATGCACCACATTGAAGAGGCTAGCACGGGCAAGGACGGGGACTGTCTGTTTATCCCAGGATCCTCAGGGGTTCTAGGTGAATGATATTCTGAAAGGAACAGAGAAATCAAAGTCCTCATTTCATTTTTTGCCCTTCGCGTACAGTTGTCTAGTATCTGCTTGGTCATCATATGCTGACTCGTTTCTTATTTAAATAAAAGATAACTCATTTGCTTTGTTTTAGATTGCGCGAAGACATGGGGATCCAAACATTCCTCGACCATGGAGTCGTCATTCATTGAAGAAAGATGGAGAAGCAACTGCAGAGGACAACAAAGTTCCAAGTGCTGTTAGTTCGAAGGTTAAGGGTTCCAAGGTGGATGCAAAGGATGATAAGGAAGGCAATGATAATGATGATCTGCAGCTACGAGAATTTCTTGAGGTCATGAAACCACGTGCTAAGTCAAAATTGTGGGCAGATGACTCTCTAATTGCCGCAGTAGCTGACCAAAATGGCAAAGTTAGCAAAAAGCCAAGTCAAAAGGAGAAAGTCAGCAAAGAAGAGCCAGTTTCTCTGGATGTCGAGTTAGAGGAAAGTGCTACTGAAAAGCTGAGGAATGATACAGTCGTCTCGGATATGGATTATTTTAAAAGTAGAGTCAAGAAGGATTGGGCAGATTCAGACAATGATAGCGATGGTGATGGTTTGGATGACGAAGGTCATGGTGATGATGATGTCAGAAGTTCACCTAATCAAAGTCTTAATAAGAATAATGATCTACAAGTAGATAGATTCTCTAAAGATATAGACCTGGCCGAGGTAAAAGAAGGAATCCCTCCTGCAGGATTCAATGACAAAACTGATGACTCTCCGAACTTCGAAGATGAGGATTTTGAGGCTGGACGGTTGTTTATAAGAAACCTATCATATTCAGCGACGTATGTACTGACACATCCTTAAAGTGATATCAAGTCAAACTTCAATATGTTATTTACCTCTAATACTCATGTGTGATTTACTTCTGGTCACCATTTGTTCCTGTTCTTTTAGAGAGGATGAACTAGAACAGCACTTTAGCCAGCTTGGAGACACCTCAGAGGTTCATCTTGTTGTTGACAAGGATACAAAGCAGTCAAAAGGATTTGCATATGTTCGCTACGCACGTGCAGAATCTGCAGCTAGGTATCTCTTCTGCCCTGAAATGTAAACTTGCTCCTCTGAAAGTGTGTAACTGGGGTTGAATTTTAATTTTCCCACTAGTCTGCAGATTGTGCATTGTTGAATTCTAACTTCCATAGTAGAATATCCTACTTTTGGTCTCCTCCTGTCTGTATTATGTTTTCTTGTACTTTTTTCTCCACCAAGTAGATTCTTAGTTGTCCATTTTTTTTATTCAAGTATGTCCCATTTTGTTGTAAGGTTTGCTCTTCACTTCTATGATTTTCTTGGTTAAAATAGTCTGTTGATACTTAATGCGCATCCGACATTACTTTAGTTTCCAGTTTGGCAAATGTTCTGAGTGCTGGAGCCTAGAATCATTGCTATAATAATGGCTTCTACTCTGATGCTGGATTAGTTCATTTGCTGCATTCTTCTTCTAATATCATTGACTAATTGCAAAGCCATCGTGCAGGGCATTGGAGGAATTGGACAAGACAATTTTCCAGGGCAGGTTGTTGCATATAATGCCAGCAAAAAAGAAATATACAGCTGATAAGGAAGAGTAAGCAGCATGGTTCTTTTGGTCTCTTTTTCCTTTAACCACCTGATTTCTGCTAACGCTATCAGCTTTCATTAACTCATGTAGGCCTCGTATTCCCCAAGACCTAGGTTCAAAAACCCTAAAACAGCGGAGGGAGGACCAAAAAAAGGCAGCCGAAGCTGGTGGAGATACAAGAGCATGGAATAGTTTGTTTATGCGTTCTGATACAGTATGTGGTCATTTGATACCAATATATTTTCCTCATTGCCAAGCTTTTATGCCTGCATCCAGGGGTGAATCTTCTCTACTAGGCTTCGCCTTGTAGCAGAAGAGGCCTAAGAAAGTCGGATGTAAGCTCTACTTGAAAACAGCATTTACCTTCTCACCACAGAGATGTGAGGATGAGGTTTTTAGTGTAACTTTGCTAAACTCACAGGGTAGGGCCCAGGTAGACACTCCAGAATTCAGTAGGGACTGGCAGTAATGTATATCGTGATTCTTTGGCATAAGCAGATTATGAGATGATGTTGAGCATGGGAGGGTCAATGGGATGTTCTACATCCTCAGTAATTGGTTAATAGGACATAGCTATGCGTTTCCTGTAATGTATGGAAGCTGGACCTGCCTGCAAGTTAAACAAGGACTTCTGATATTTTGATGGAGGTTTTTCCCCGCAGCCATATGTGCCATTGCTGGTTACAGACTGAGTCTCGAAAATCTTGTGTATTGAAAAATTATAAAGTTTTCAGTTGTAGTGTTCACTGACATTAGCAGTTGAGAAAGTTTGAAAGAATACTATGTGGTGTAGTCTTAAATTTACAGTAGCTTCTTGACACTGGCAGATTATCCTACAAAATAACACGTAGTACGATCTTCTGGGTCTCTAACTTACAATTCTTTTAACATGCTTCAGGTTGTTGAGAACATTGCCAGAAGACATGGTATTAGTAAAAGTGATTTGCTTGACCCAGAATCAGATGATCTTGCTGTACGTGTTGCTTTGGGAGAAACTCAAGTAATTGCAGAGACAAAAAAGGCTCTTGCGACTGCTGGAGTAAATGTAAAATCTTTAGAAGAAATTGCTGCTGGGAATACAGATGGCTTGAAAAGAAGCAAACATGTAGTTTTAGTGAAGAACTTGCCATATGGCTCCTCAGAAGGTGAACTGGCTCAGATGTTCGGGAAATTTGGTAGTCTTGACAAGATTGTTCTTCCTCCAACGAAGACAATGGGCCTGGTACGTGATGGGGCTATCGCGTCATTGAATTATTAGCTGTTTTGTTGGATTTGAAATAAGCTTTCAAATGCTCATCAGACACTATGTTGATGAAGTTATATTCCATTAGTTTTATGCAATCTTGATTTCTACCCTGTAACTCGCCTAGCCACTGACATTACCATCATCCGTGCCTCAAATTTATCTCTGCTGCTTCCTTATTCTATTGTACTATTGATTCATATAATTTATTGCATTACCTTTAGATAGGGAACTTTAGTCATACCTAAGCCCTAAGAGATTAAAAATTAGGATTCATAAGGCGTGTGTTGTGCTTACTGCGGCCGATTCTTATAGTATCATGATGTTTCAGGTTGTTTTTCTCCAACCTTCAGATGCACGCGCTGCTTTTAGAGGTTTAGCGTACAAGCGTTACAAGTGAGTTCTTCCCTAAATTTCTTGATTAAAGTTGAATCGATATGCTGATGCAATATTAAGGATGTCTTGGTGCTTACCATCTTGCACTGTTTGTGTTTGGTACTTACCATAACTTCTTTGGCTTCTTAGGGATGCTCCGCTGTATCTTGAGTGGGCTCCAGCTGATATTCTTAATCCAAGTTTTATCTCTAAGGATGATCAAACGAGTAATACAGTTGCTGGTCAAGATGCTGTCAAAAGGGTGATGCTGGAGCAAAGTGTTGAAGGAATATCAGAAGCTGATATAGACCCTGACAGAATTGAGGTACATACGTTCATGAAAATTTTCTCTTATGCTCCCTTTCTTATTCCTAACCGAAACAATGTATAATTTGTGGATTTTAGTAATCTTGCAGTTGTCGCTAAGGCTTTTGTCCAGTTTCATCTGCTTGTTTGTGAAGCATTTTCATCACTTTCTTAATATGACAGATAAAAGTGATGCATGATCGGAGTACATCATGTCGGTTCCAAAATGCCTTCGAAATTTCTAACTGGTCAATTGTTTTTCAGTCTCGGTCTTTATATGTCAAGAACCTGAATTTCAAGACATCCGATGATAGTTTGAAGCAGCACTTTATCAAACTCATGAAAGAAGGGAAAGTGTTAAGTGCAAGGGTAATTATCTCTGAGTCTTACTGGCACCATTATATCTTTGATACTATTTGTGTTCTTAGACTGGTTTTTCTTCATCGTCTGTAGATAAAGAAGCACTTAAAAAATGGGAAGAATGTCTCTATGGGTTTTGGGTTTTTGGAGTTTGACTCGGTGGAGACAGCAACAAATATTTGCAGAGATTTGCAGGTAATGTTTACTCTGGGTGCGTGGTATTTGTCTGATTATAAAGAAGTCCATTGCCTCTGTATGTGTATCTCCTTTTAATTCCATAGTCCTCATGCATTTCATTATTCTAGGCATTCAAACCAATCATCATAATGAACATGCAGTATACTCTCATGTACTCCTTAATTAGAAGAAAATTTCCCCTTCAATTTGGGTTTTGGTACCTATACCTTTATTGGATGAAACTGTAACATTTTCTCCTTTCGTCGAACCACCCGTGTGTGTGTGTATGCATTTGTTTGTGTGTTCTCGACTTCTGTGGCCTTTATTTCCTTTGCACTGATCTTGGTTGAATCTCCTTATGCTATTAGTTCCTTCTAGTATAAACTATAAACTTGTATGACGTAGAGTGGTATAATTATAACCGTATACTTGCCTCCTTATTGTACCAGGGAACAGTTTTGGATGGTCATGCACTCATCCTGCAACTTTGTCACACAAATAGGGATGAGCAAGTGACAAAAAAGGTGGAGAAGGATAAAAGTTCTACAAAATTACTCGTGAGGAATGTGGCATTTGAAGCAACAGAAAAGGATCTTAGACAATTATTTAGCCCCTTCGGCCAGGTAATAAATTGATTTTCCAGTTGAACCTGCTATTGAAGCTAAATTTGAACATTTTGTTGAACAAGTCCCTGCCATATTCATTCAAAATGATAATAAGTATGACTTGAAAAACCGAAGCAGTTTATGGTGGCGTTAATAGAATGAGAACAGTTAACACGCCAGTATATTAGATTAAAGCTGTGGTTATGGGACAACTTGGTGATTGAACTTCATAGACATGTAAGCTGGAGTTTCTGCTAATGCTCTTGAAGCATCAGCTTATGCTAAGAAACTGAGGAACTTCTTCCTTTGTTCATGTCCATCTCGATCTACTGGGAGTTCCTCTATAGATATGTAATAGGAACACATTTCCATCCTTGGCTAAATTTTGAAAGAATCTTGAAAATTTTCTGGTCCTCGACCATCCTGCTAGTATAGACGAGACGATACAATTCAGACAAATCAGCCATTATGATCCCCAATTATCTCTTTTTTCTCCTGTAGCTGTGGTTACAAATCATTAACATTATGGATTCGCAATGATTCATATGATATAGAACAAGCAACCGTCTATAAATGGTACATGCTGGGAGTGACATAACTGGAGCTCTGTTTTCTGTTGCCCAAACTTAAAATTCCCGAGTTGTTACTTGCTCAATTTTACCCTTTCCTCCCTGGGTGTAGCTTTGACATTGCTTTTCTAACTTGGGAAAATGCAGATCAAGAGCTTGAGGTTGCCAAAGAAGTTTGGAAACCACAGAGGGTTTGCCTTTGTGGAGTATGTTACGAAGCAGGAGGCCCAAAATGCACTTGAAGCGCTCTCCAACACTCATTTGTACGGTAGACATCTGGTAGGTTTGCCCAGCAACATCATCAACCAACTATGCCCTGCTTCCTATGTGGAGTCTAAAATCTGGAAAATTTTGTGCATTGCTGTTTTGCGATTTGGCAGATTCTGGAGAGAGCAAAGGAAGGAGAGACACTTGAAGAGCTAAGGGAACGAACGGCTGCCCAGTTTGCTGATGAGCAGAATGGATTCGGCACCAATTCAAAGAAAAGGAAAAACATGGCCGTCTTGGATGAAGGAACCATGAAATTTCAACGGGTCACAGACTAAGTTCTCTGCCAGCTTAGCATTTTCAGCATTTTTTTTATCAGTAGGTGCTGGTTCTTGTGTGAAGAGACCATGAAGTTTCTGGTTTATGTAGGAAAGCATAAACTTTGTCGAATGTAATATATTGCTGCCTCTGTTTATTACCACACAAACATACGAAAGGACAAAATTTTACAGATTTCACAATGCGACTCTTATTTAAGTTTGTGTGTGTACTATTCATAGAAGATGGAGTGGCCGAAAGCAAAGTCGACCATCGGCCTGAGTTCATCCCAGCTCCCATCTTCAAAACACTCTTCCTGCAGTTGCCCGCTGCTTTGCTCGCAGAAGCTGCTCTGGCATTGATGATGATCATCGTCATCTTTATTGGTGAAGTTCATCAATTGGCTGTCTGAACTGCAACAGCCATGGTTCCAAACCGACGACGATTTAGAATCAATCACATCGACCAGCTTGTCCCCCAACACTCCGTATGGAAAACAGCAGCTATCACCAGCTGATTCAGAAGCACTTGTTCTGCAACTGTGGGAGTCTGCTTTCTTGCTGTAAGACGCCTCTCGCTTGAAGATTCGACAGAGCGTCCAAACCTCCTGCGCGCAATTTGTTCATGTTAAGAACCTTGCTAGTTCCTTACCAGTCAGTTAAGTATGCTATGCTATTACTCACTGCTTCGTAGGTGTTGCTAGGTGGGAGACGAAACTCGTGCATCATCCAGTCGGTCTTGGTGCCTTTCCCGGCGCTTCCCCTGTAGTAAACCAGAGACTTCTTCAGGCCGATGCAGCAGTCACCACCACCACCGCCGGTGGAATAAATGGGCTTGTCGATTCCGGTGGCTTTCCAGAACCCGCAACCGGCAGTCACCCTGTTGGGCCTCACGCTGTTCTTGTACTTCCTCCCTCTCTTGCAGAAGAAATACCATTCCCTTTCTCCTCCTCCCCCTTGTGCATCTGCTGCAGAAGCAAAGCAACTGTCTGTCAGGACAGGACCAACGAACCAGCATGATACATATATATACACACTTAGAAAGTAGGATTGGAGTTCACTTGGGAGATCCCATGGCTGATACTTGTAGACGTCCAGGTGTTTGATGATGTCGATTCGCAGAGCCTTCTTCTCCACTTTCCTCTTGAGATAAAACCCAACTAGCTCTTCGTCCGTCGGATGGAACCGGAACCCGGGGAGTGAAAGAGGACCGTCGTCCTGTTCCTCCTCGCCGCCGTTCATGATGTTCTTTTTGCAATGAACGAGGAAGTTTGTCTTCATCATCGTCCTCCTCGTGTCGTCCTCCATTATTTTATGTTTGCTTGCTGCAGCTGCTAGTCTTTTTCTCCGATGCTTACACACTCAATTATCAGAAGTCTTACTAACTATTGTTGCACGTTATATATAGCGACGTCCCCGTCGCCATACACAGTGGTGTGAAGGATGAAGATACGGATGGCGGTTGCTATTATTTTTTTTATTTATTATTATTATTCATCAGATTTTTTCATGGAGTTGTTTAGGTCAAAGTCGTCTTGATTGACTGAAGAAAATCGGCTCTCATGGCTCTGTTTTCTTTCTTGGGGCTGGCTTTGGTGTTCCAACCAAGGCATATGTTATGTGGTCAAAAAGATTGTGGTGTTGTTTTTTCTTCTCTTCATTAGTCATTGCATTATCGGGTTAAAGACATATTTGGTCACTGTGATTACAAAATCGGGACATGTTTAGTCACTAGAAAAAGTTAATATCAAATTTGGTCACTACAATTACTAAAACTGGACACATTTAGTCACTCGCCGTTAGTTGCCGTCCAACTCCGTTAAAAGAGTCCGTTATGTGCTGACGTGGCTAACGTGAGCGCCTAGTCAGCACCGTTTTGGGCAGGAAATGGTCAAACCCGACCCGCCACGTCACTAAACCCGCCACGTATTAAACCCAACCCGACCTAGAAATAAACCCTAACCCACCTAACCATACCAGATCCCACTTTAAAAAAAAAGAAAACTGATTTGTTTCCATTTCATACCCAAAAACCCTTCTCCTTCCTCGAGAGCTCTTCCCCTTCGTGTGCCTCACTGCCCTCCCGGAGGACATCCTCCGCCACATCCTGATCGCCGCCGATCTAGACCTAAAAACCACCGTCCAGACCTTCGTTCTGTCCCGCCGCTGGCGCCACCTCTGGCGATCCGCCCTCCGTGAAATCCGCCTCGAAACCCTGCGACGCCACCGTGAGAAACCGCTGCTATTTCCGGGATGAGCAGAAGCTGCTATTTCGAGCCAAGGTCCCGCTGAGCATTCTGGACTTACTTTTTCAGTCTGGGATCATCGCCCGCGAGGCCAAGGAGCTCTCTCTCAACCAGTCGACATTCTTCGATTCCGGCCCGTCCTTCAAGATCCCCTACCGCCCAATGATTCCTGGAATCCGTTCTCACTCGTGCTCAAGACAGGGTCGGGGTCGTTCGGCTCACCGACGTCAAGCCCGATGGTGATGAGTAGAAGTCACGGCCAGCACGAATCTCCCCATGAGGAGTCACGCCGTGATGAGTTTTCGGTGGGGGCTTAGGGTTCCATCAGATAACAAATTGGGGGGCGGAGTAGCTAGAGACCTCGATTCGATGGCTGTCGCGATTAATTTCAAGAGGATCCCGTTCCTGGTGATGAACAAGATCGGGATTGAACACGTCAACCAATCTTATTCGATTGGGGCTTAGGGTTTTGTTGTATGCTGCGATGGGGGAAAATGACGTCGGCACGTGACGAAGAAGAAGAAGAAGAAGAAGAAGAAGAAGAAGAAGAAGAAGAAGAACAGAGCGACTTCAAAGGAGGATATTAGGGTTTCGTTGTCTACTGTGATGGGGGAAAAGCAACTTCAAAGCAGGAAGGTATAGAGATCGCGAGGAAGAAGAAAGAGTTTCGGGTCTGAAAAATGGCCCCTAACCCGATCTATTTTGCAATTTTGTTAAGTCAAGTGGGCTCGGGTTTGGTTTTGGTCGATTGGGTTCATAGTTGGGTTGGGTGTATGACGTGGCGGGTTTAGTGACGTGGCGGGTCGGGTTTGCCCATTTTCGGTCCAAAATGGCGCTGATTAGGCGCTCCCGTTAGCCATGTCAGCACTTAACAGAATCTGTTAACGGATTTGGACGGAGACTAACGGAGAGTGACTAAATGTGACCTATTTTAGTAATTTGAGTGACCAAATTTGATATTAACTTTTTCTAGTGACTAAACATGTCCCGATTTTGTAATCTCAGTGACCAAATATGTCTTTAACCCTTGCATTATCTGTGGAAAAATGGGTAAAGAGTGTCTTTTCGATTTTATTCTCATAATTTTATTCTACTCCTATGATTATCTTCTAAGCTACTTTAAATCTACATGTGGGCTCAAAACTTCAAATGATCCATAAATCAAATCATGACATCCAGCCAAAGTACATATAGTACACAAAATCCACCATGCAGTCGGAAATTATAAAACAATGATAACAATGATAATATTGACGAATTACAACGGATTCATAACAATTCCATCTCAAGAGGTGTGATCTTATTCCCAAATTAATGTTTTAGACAAAGATCTTGCAATGTTGTCTAGAGTGTTCTTGTGGTATCTTTAACTCATTATCAATGAACTCAACACTCCTCCTTCGAGCGATTGTCACGGTGAATCCAACAAGTGTACAGAATCACAATCCTCACTAATTCGAGGTCTCTGTTAGAAGAAATTGGTTGGCTCGACACCTCCTCTGGAATAATGTTTCCAACTACTAGATCAATCACGAAGATCTGAATGTAGCTCGGGCCCACCTTGTAACACCGTTCAGTTGTTATGAGGTCTTATTAGACTGATACAACTAAAATAGGAATACAAATAAGTAACGAGTGGTGGAGATAACTGTTTAGAGCTTGGCCAAGGCCAGTTGCCCGATGTTGAGGATGTATCGAAAAAGGGACAGATAACAATATGAAACTTGACGAGAATTAATACATGTTAGAGCTTCTTTATAGAGTCGAATCTGGCTAAGGTACTTACAACCTTTTTTAAGGGGATGCTTGCAACACTCAAAGCAGTTAGATCGGACGTTGAGTGTTTTATAATTGTTCGATAAATGCGTGATTGTTATGAAACTAATGGAAAATATAAACAACTACAAGAGAAGATTAGAGAGGGAAAGACACAAGAGAGGAGAGGAGGATAGTTCTTCTTATTCATACTTCATTTGTGATACAATAGTGTGCTCTATTTATAGGCACCCTTTGGTAATCACTACATCCTTACATCGATGCATATGAATTAGCGATAATGATATATGAATATGAGTTACATGTAACTCCCAAGTGAGCATCTAATGTGGTAGGCCATTGGTCATCTATATATAAATATTTACATAATACTCCCCCTTGGATGACCACTAGATTGCATTATTACGCTATCTAATGTTGCCTCATTAAAAACCTTTCCAGGAAAACCCAGTGGGAAAACCCATGGTTAAGGGAAAAAGAGTGCAGAGCGTATAGGTTGGAAAAAATCCAAAACTACCACTGTTTAAAAAAAATTACAAAAATACCACTCATTCCCAACAATTTTCAAAAATACCATCGTTTATTAAAAACTGCCCCTCTAAGTGGCGGTTAATATACAAACCGCGCCCCCTGGCAGCGGTTTACATTATAACTGCCTCGCCAACAGGCGTTTTTATATTCCAGCTAAAACCGCTCCTCGAAGGAGCGGTTTATAACTAACCCTACCACAAAACGCTTGAAGAGGAAGCGTTTAAATGTCGGCATGATAAACCGTCCCTCCAGAGCACGATTTACCATGTCCAGACATTAACCGCTGCCTTAAGGCGCGATTTGTGGTCGACAGCAGACATAAACCGCTGCCCCAAGGCGCGGTTTGTGCCTGGTCACCCGACAGCAGACATGTCGGCATGCAGGAGGTGGGGCTGCATGGCAGACCTAAAACCGCTCCCCCCACCCGCGGTTTGTGCTGCAAAATTCGCCTATAAAAGGCTGATTCAGAGAACTCAAATTCTTCACACTCCTCCTCTTCCTTCTTCAAATTTCAGTTTTGCACCTTTAAATTATTTAGTTTTTGCGATTAACGTTAATTCGTAAGTTTGTTTTGTATTACTTTTCATTGCCCTTTGTGATTTTATGTTAGTAACTTAATTACTTTTCATTGTCCTTTGTGATTTTATGTCAGTAACTTAATTACTTTTCATTGTCATGTCCCGCTTGTATTACTTTTCATTGTCCTTTGTGATTTTATTTTAGTAACTTAATTACAGTTTTATTGCAGATGGCATTCCAAAGGTTCACGCTTGGGTTGCGGTGAAATGGTTACACGGAAGAGACAGAAAAGGGTGTAAGTTACGTTGGTGGCAATTTTTATAAAATGAAGGTCCGTCAAATGTGCACTCAGATTACCTGCATGGATGGCACTAGAAGATTTGATCAAATGGTGTATCGATATCCAAACAGACATGACGGGTCACTGTGGAATGAGGAATTCCTCCTTACCACTCAGGAGGACGTTGATGCCATGGTCCAATTTTTGACCACCAATAAAATTAAGCAAGCGGAGATGTTCGTTTACACCGAGGCCGTTGAAGGCAGTGTAGGTCATTCTGGAGATGGCCAAACATCTGGTATCCACGGTGGGAGTGTATTATATGAAGATCATCCCCACCAGGATTTCCAAGACTCGAGCTGGAGGCAGGAGTATCATCATGGAACTGGAGGTCATCATCAATCCTTCCCGTCATATGAAGAAGAAGCTCAACAGGCGGATCACAACCAACAAGCAGGCTACCCGTACCCACCCGAGTACAACTTCTATCAAAGCGGTGTTAGTTACCACAACTACCATTATGGAGCTGGTGAAGGTGAAGGTGTCTTTCATGATGATAATCAGATGGAAGAAGAGGTCAATCCAAGTCCAGTTAGCGACCCTGAGATTGAAGAAGAGGAAGGCGAAGTTAGTGCAGACAGCTCCAATCCGCTGGAAGGTGCTGATGATTCCGGTCCAGATTCAGATTCAGACGCAGACGGTGATGAGGTACCTCACGACCGTGTACCTATTCCATACTACAATCACATTCAAAATGAAGATTGGTATGTTGATGCCGACATGGACCCGCCAGAGGTGCTAGTATGGGGTCCACTCACTGGCTTTACGAAGGGCCAACAATTTGGAACGAAGAATGAGGTCCAACACGCTATTGCCACTGAAGCAATGACTCAGAGTTTTGAATGGCAAACAACCCATTCCGACACAAAGAGGCTGATGGTTCGATGCAAAAATGAAAATGAGGGATGCAAAGCTAGGGTCCGGGCCATCAAGAGCAAGAGAGTCGGCCATTGGGTCATATCCCATGCGGTGAACACACACACATGTGTGTAATCAAT